AAGCTTTAACTCCAGATCCTGGCGCTCCTTAACTGCATCTGTCAAATTCTCATTTGCAATAGCAAGATCTTTCTAAAATTAAAATAATCTGTGATTAACAAGGCAGTTTAAGAGAATGCGGAAAATAGAAAAAATAAGACTTGAAACCTACACTATTAGAGGTAATTTTCAAATGTAAAAAATATCTTCTTAAACAGATTGTAGAACACCATACCTCGAGTTGACAAACAAAACTCTGGTGCGCCGTACTATCTTCTACAACGTTATTTGGGCCGGACGAAACCAGGGCAGAATACTGAAACGCGCACTTGGCAGAAATCATTTCCTACTGTTCTACCATACAGAGGATAACGAACCTCAATTTATGATACTACACTACCTTTTCGCTTAACTTCTCTAGCTCCACTCTTAGCTTGTAACAATTCTCACAGAAGACTTCTTTTTCGCAAAAAGTCTCGGAAATTATAAACGAATAATCCGCAACCCGCTCTTTTGCGTACCGCTGAAGACTTCTAGGAGTTGACGGAGGATTGACACAGTCAAGTTTGACTCCTTTCTTCTTCGCTTCTAGTATTTTGGGGACATCGACTTAAAAAAATTAATGGATTTGGAACAAGATGAATGCCCAAAATATACTTTCAACTTTCTAATTAAAAGGAAGAAATATACGTGTAAACAAAGTAGTTGAGAATAAATGATTCTCAAATTTCAAAAAAGCAAAGGAAGCACAAGAAAATCCAGAACAACTTACTCTCACTCTTCCGCGCATTACGGTTGTCACCACCAAGACACTCTAACTGACCATCTTGCTCCAATGGCTCCTCTTCCATTAACACCTCTTCAGGCGTTTCCTGAACACTACGTTCTCCGAGCAAAATGAAGGTCAACCTATGGGCTATTTCACAGAAAAAAATTTTGTTAACCGACCTGATTTACGGTCGTTTGATCGTTTGAATCAGCGCCTTTACGGCATGAATTACAAAAACTTTCACTTCCAACTGCTTCGCTTTCTTCAGCATCATGATCCTTACTGACTAAGCTGTTCTCAGATGCACTTTCAAAGTTCATTGCAACTTCCGATTCAGTGTGCTCGTTCACGGTGCTATCCACTTCTGGAAAACTGCTCTCAGCAACCACATGGAAATTATCTAAGTTTTCCATTTCCTGTTTGAGCGAAAACCCTTTTGTTGTTCCCACACTTCCTTCAGAAGTCACAGTTGGGACTTTTTCTAAAGCTTTCAAATCTGCATTTTCATCACTGGTAACATTTTTTATATCTGTGCTTGAACTGCAAACAGTTTCCTCAAGTGCGGTCATTTCCAGATTAGCATCGCCTATCCTTAAACTAGCATTGACGCGGCTGGGTTCCATAAAAGTTGATTCAAGGTTAGGATCCGCAACATTCAGCATAATATTCATTCTTGATTCTAAGGGCGTAGGTGGGCAGCATAACTGTAACATATTTCATGTCATATTAGCTCAACTGACAACAACTGCTAAAGTAAGTTTTAAATAACCTTCTTGAAGGGAATTTTGTTTGCCGGAGAGAGGACGGCAGATGGGCTGTCAAGATGCAATCGCTTATCCTAAACTGAATTTTATGAAATGTAGAAAAAAAAAAAAAAACATTTATATACCAAAAACTACATACGTGTCATATTGGACAACGAAACAATTTCTAAAAGCCCTACAGCTTGAAATTCTTAGTAGTAAAAAAAAGAAAACATTGCAACAGTAAAAATTCAAATCACATACAACTCTATTTTCTTTCTTGGCGTCGTCATCAAACTGTAACAGACGAGTTCCTTCCATACTAAAAAATAAATTTTCAAATAAAATAATTTCATGAAAAAAAACATTTTAGCATCAGCTATAGAAAACATTATATGCAAATCCAAGCATTAAATAGCACTTATTTCACAACAAAAAGCCCCTGAGCTATAGATACTTTGAAAGGAAATGAAAACTGACAAGGTGAATTAGCGAGTTAAGAAGTTTTTAAAGCAGCTATTTGACCAGGAGAATTCGCGCCTAAACCAGCGGCCTGAAGCGTTCAAAAAGCCGGATGATTTAGTTGGGCAGAAAAAATTGAATATAAATTTCCCGCCAAAAATGAGGTATTCAAATGCACTACCGATCGGCAACAGCCTTTAATGGCGACACTGCAACAGTTTCAGCATTTCGTTATGCTATCAGGTTTGCGCTTTCAATTAGTGCAGTGTACAGTCTAATTAATTTTTGAACTTTATTATTTTGTTATGCTAATGTTTTTTTTAATTGAATTTAGTTAGTGTTTATTTAGTAGCACACATGTGTTGATTGATAATGTTTGTTTTAAAAGTTGTAGGAAACTTTGCCTTCAGTGTGATATACTGTAACTTAAGATCTAAAGTTTTTTAGCACTTACACATTGAAATTTGACTTTGAAACAATTCTTGCATAGGATTTTAGAAGAAAAAGACGGTTCTCTTAGAATAATGAATTTGAGTAGTAAGAGGGTCACGGCTGACATTAATGACTTGATTTTTTTTTTTTAGTGGCTGAATCGGTATTATTTTTCTGTTAACGGTTTTTTATTACTTTTTATTTATTTATTTTTTGTTTTGTTTTCTGTATTTTTCGCTCTTACATAAAGCAATTTATGTGCAGTGATTTTTGCAAAGCTTAATTTTAAAATCATGTATACTTCATCAACTATAATCCTTGACACATCAATTATCGCCTGATTTATACAACTTTTATTAGCGAATGATAAATATGACTTGATCTAACAGTTAAAGTCGGGCTTTAATGTGAAAAAGAAATAAGTAAACAATTAATTATTGATATTACTAACTTAAACGACAAAAAATGCTTTTATTTATACAAACGCTTGTTGGGAAACAGAGGAGAGAATGAATCGAGAACTTTTTGGTACTGTTTTTTTTT